CTAAACTCAATAATTCAAATTCAAAAAGTAAAATATCATAAGTTTTAGAGTTAAATATTGGACATTGAAAATAAAATATCGAAAATCGACTCCTATACAAGCCTAGATAAACTCCTTCTTTTCAATTTGTATAATAGGTGTTCATACTGTAATGTCACTCAGTAAGCTATATTATTGGAAGTACGAAACTAAGTTTCAGTGGTTCACTAAAATTCACATTTGTAATTAGAGTGTAAAATGTTCCGTTAATGACATGTGCGTGCACGTGCGGGTGTGCTCCACTATTTATTTCATACACAGTCACTCACACTAATAATCACTTACTACGCAACATTTACACGACCCGCATACACACAATTAGAAAATTGCCTATACCGAACTCCTTAGAAACGGTCGGTATGCATACCCCTTAAGGGGATTGGTGGCGGACAGTTATTTTAGCCAAAACATACCAATCGTTTATACATCATACTGATCATACTGATCTACCTAATAATAATTTTTAAAACTGTTCTGAATTCGTTATATGTCTACTTGAAATCGGTCAGTCCACTTTCCCCAATTACCCCCCCCCCCCCGGGCCACAACTTCTATAAATTTAGTTTGAATATTTTGAAATTTCGGAATTTTCAAACGTTGATTATTCGGAATTTAATCAGAAATATTGAAATGTGAACTGACCGATCTCAAGTAGACATTATGACGAATTCAAATCAGTTTTCAAAAGTATTATCGCTTTACTAGATCGATCGGTAGGATGGACAAAAAGTGATAAAAATGTATATAAAATATTTGAAAACTACTGCTTTAGTTAGTTTATGAGAAAAAATAAATATATTGTTATATTTAGAGCTTTAGCAGGTAGATCATAGTTAATAAATAAAATAATAATTTTATTCTACATTAGGTATATTTTTAAATTATTTTACTAACCTACAGCCTATTTATACTTGTAATAATATGTTTTGTTTAGTGACTATATTGTATGATTTAATTTTAACAAGTAATTTGATATAAACTGAATACATTTTCTATGGATATCATCTTTAATTTAGTTACTTGAAAATCAATGTTTCTATCCCTAACCGCTGTTGTATGCTTTGATGATGGTAATATATTATTACGATCAGTGTTTAGCCTGGAATTTTGTATTGGGGGGGGGGGGTGAGGTCTCACAAAAAATACAAATACAATATGTGTTTTATTTACACTTTTTATTTTTTTATTAATCTTGATAAAACTCTAAGGTCAACACAATCAATGGGGGGGAGGGCTATAGCCCCCTTTGGCACCCCCCTGATTACGATGGTATTGTACTCGCAGTCGAATAAAAAACGTAGAAGCTGTTGTGATTGGTTCTATCCGTTGTTGATATGACCAACGGCAGTGTTGTTTTAGTTTAAATTTTTAGTTTGCACAATATTACGATCACTGGATTAGACGTGTACGTTTCGAATTTCGATTATATATTATTATTTTCTGTTTTACTTTATATTGTATTCTAGGTAGGGCCAGAATGTTAATGACTTTCTCATGTTTTTTTTTGGGGGGGGGATGGGGAGGAATGTCTCGAGACAATGCTTTCCTAGCTAAAAATGTGTTTAAATAAAACGGGAATCTAAATAAGTAATTTTTAATTTCAATTTTTGGTCTTTTTTTTGTTATTTTAGGTAATTTTTAAAATGTAAACTATTTTTGATAAACTAAGGGAGAAATCAGGGTTCATACAAGGGACCTATCAATAACGCATCATAATATTATCGACTATATATTATATTGTTGACTAGTTGAGTTTGGTTTCAATAAGTAATTATTCCATCATAATATTTGTTATCTCAAGAAACAAAAATGTATTGTCACGCTAATATTATAAAGTTTTAAAAGCAATTCCGTTTCAGTGACGAGTTATAAGTTATAACCTTAGATGATGCGTTTGTGTGTAACACTGAATGTATGCGTTCCACCGTGTGCATGTATAATATATCTCTATCAGAGCTAATGACATTACTTAATATTATTATACTGTTCGCTTTGAAGGTGTCAATTGCCGATTTCTATAATATAATATGACGTGTATAGATAATAATATAATATCATCTGAGCAACACTGAAACAACGATCTTCATACTATTATAATTATACTCCGAATAAAATAATATTAATTGAAAACGGGCGTTGCAAATTGTTTTATTTTTGTTATTTCAGAATTAATTTTGGGCCAAAGTCTTTTAAAGCCGTCCTCGGTTTGATAAATATCGATAAGTTTCGTTGTTTTTAACCACCAGTTGTACACCAACCACAATACAATAACGCGATGTAATCTGGATATATTTTTTAAAACGTTTTCTATACTGCACTTCATTTTTTAAACCAAGTATTGTTTAATGTTTATATAACTATATGTTTATTAAAATATAAATCGATATAACAATATACTCTGAGACATGTGACTTTGTCTGGCCAAATGCCTAAACACCTATTTTTCAAAGCCGAAAGCTTTATTTAAGTAATGATCGAACAAAATGTATAACAATGACATTTATATGTATAATTAACTTTGAATAAATTATGAATGAAAAAAATTACAATTCTGTACAAAAAAATCTATTAAACTATTTATAATAATATACAAATACATTACTTTATACGTACTTAAAATAATTATAATAATTATATACACGACACATTATTATTTATGTTGTAAATTTAAATATAAATAAATAAGTTACTGTTCCTTCCTCGCCACTCGAAATATTTTCTCTCCGATTAGAAAATATAGCATAGCAATATTACAATTTTATTAACACAAGTTGTTCATTTGAACAATACCTATATACAATTAAAATTAAAATTATAATTTTGAAAATAATAGAATACTGAAATTAATTAACTAACAATAATATGAAACGAATTTTAAGCAGATATTCAAAAGAAACCATTATGGTCGACTCAATGGCTAAACAATATAAAAATATTTAATTATTTCTGATTTTGAGCAGAAATATTATTTATGAACAAACTTAGTAATAAATAATGTAAGTTTTAACTGTTAATTAAATTTGGATGTTACACTGGTCCCTAAAGATATACTTACAATATTATTGTATTATAATAATAGTATTTCCTTTCAGATTTGGTCTCTGTATAATGATCAGAAATTGATCAGTTTCTTCATAAAGTTGTACAGTTATGCTTAAGATTTTTTTATATAAAAATTACAAACACGTTTTACGTTTTGTTTTATACTAATAACAAGTAACAATTTTACTATAATGATACGACCAGAATTAAGTTGGCCTAAGTAAACTAATTACATTTAATATTATTATAACAAGATAATAAATAATACCGGAGAGAAAACCTTCTGGAAATATGTTATGTTGTGGAAAATATATCAAATACCAATCCGCATTGAAGTTATCGAGACGTGAACGTTTGTTTCAGTGACAGTCGACCATTTTGACCTGACAATCGCTATTATTACTATTATAGTTTTGTATTACGAATATATAATTAATATACAATATATTTTAGTTTGTCAGTTGTGTGACCAAATTAATACCAATTTTTCCGAAAAAAATCATCAATACATGTATGGATATTACTAAATTTTAATGTTCATACATATATAATAACAACAAAAATTAGGTCAAGCCTCAAGCGTAATGCAATATAATATATTATAACAGGATTAGAGTAGTTGCATAGTAATATCGTACCTTTTGCCATACGAACTTGTTCATGAATACCAAATTATTTAGCAAAATAATAAAAGACCAATCGTGTTGTATTATGGAATCCAATTCCAACTCAATTCTGATTGAATACAAAAAAAAAATTAAAAATCGGAAAAACGTTTGTATCTCGTGCAAATTATGTATTTCACTGTCACTTAAAACTTTACTACAAAAACAAGTATAGAGTTTAAAATAATTTGTTTGAATTACTTCTCATGTTGAAATAATATTTTAGATTATTCCATAACTGTTCACATTGTAAAAAAACTTAATTATTTTTTATTGAACTATGAATCCGAAAATGTCTTTAAAAAATCCGCGTTTTCCCAATATCAAAATATTTCAAAATAAATACAATTTGTCTAAACAGACTTAAGAATAAAAAAAATCTATTGTAATGAACATTCAATACTGTGTAATTACCTACCTTACGGTGTCGGTAGAAGTATATGTATTTCTATATCAATGAATTTGAATACAACAGAAATCTAAATTTGAATTTTTATTGGTCCCTATAGATATATTTTAAACATATTTGACGGTAATTGTTTCAATGGTGAAGTGTCTACACCATAACACCATGTTCTAAAAATTTAAAAAATAAATTCGTCTGTTACTAAAATATTAAGGTATGAACAATAATAATAATATAGTCATGATAAAACCATGCAACTATCCTGTTATGGTAAAATTTCGAATTATCCAAAAACAAAAACAACAACAACAGCAACAATAACAATAATAATAGTAATATAAGTAATGTTAATAATACAGTTAATAATAATAATAATAATAATAATAATAATTATAATCATAATACAAAAGACACCGCTTATAAGACTCACGGATATAAGGCTCAGTCGCTTATTAGACTCAAAATCCCCTGAAAGGACCGTATATAAATACATTAAAAATAAAATCGTTTATAAAACTCAAACTTAGTAAGAAAAATCGTAAACACTAAACTTTTGCAGAGTTGGTTATTACTGATTTCTAATCATGCCGTATGGTATAAAATTTATCGAATTTATTATAGTAAATGTATATGCATTGTATTTATTTAATAATAATATGTAAAAGTAGCAAAATTAAGTTACTTAAAATAGGTAATTACTTAAAATGTACGTTTGTTTTTTTCCTACTTCGTCTTTAACAGTCAATCGGTTATAAGACTTTTTGCTGGTCCCAATGTGAGTCTTATAAACGGCGTCCGGTAATAATTATAATAATAATAATAATAATAATAATCGGTCTAGTTTGGATCTAATTTTCGGGCTGAGATACCAACGAAAAACAACTCTTAGATATAGTCGGAAGTATGTCGGGTGAAGACGTTTGTGACGAACTGCCCCCTAAACGGACGTACTGTCCAAAATTTCTTAATATCGAATTGGAAAACGGTACGTTATCAATCGACAAACACCTCCTCCGCCCCTGAAGTCCTCTGTGTATGAACATACTATTTTCGTCTAAAGATCTTCGGCTCAATAGCCCTGGGCCGGCGTGGAGATCGTTGTGGCTAGTGTGCCCCACTAACATTTCCGCTTCCCAGTTCTCCCACCTGGGCGGAAACTCTTCTTCTTCGTCGTCCGTACAATTCATATCAATTCTGGTGTCGTCTTGTTGCCACGACGGTTCTGGAATGATTGACTTGGGCAAGTCTCGGAGTTCCAGGTTCTCTTCTTCCGACCGGTCTTCCCAAGACTTACTCGAGAACAACGCTGGGCTACGGGAATTTGGGTTGTAACACCTCGGGTCATCCAGACCGAATGGGGACAAACTGTTGAACGAAGATACCTTTGGATACATGACTGTATCCACAGAATCATTTCTCTGAAATACATTAAAATTAATTTTCACATCTATAATAGGAACACAATTAACCGTTGTACAGAGTTTAACAGAGAGTATATCGACAAAGGCAACGATTTGGCTATATAATGTAATAACTTTTATTCAAACCAATATTTAACACAGAATGTTTAAATTAATTGCTTAAGGGGGCTCCAGTGTAAAAGTGACTTTTAGACCAATAGATGGTTAACTACATTTGTAAGTTCTATCTTTAACAGTTTACACTATGTAGTATGTATATTATAACGAAACTCACTATAAATGGATTTTCTTCGTCTTCTTCTATATTTTTTGAATAATTATCAAGTAATGATCCTAATTTTCCTTCGTCGACGGGTTGATCACAAAGTTTCTGGATAATCATGAATTTATTTTAAAATTTAATATATTATAATAGATATCAAGAAAATATGTAAAAACAAAAAGTTACCTGATTGAATTGTTCACATAGTGTGCTTATTGTATAATCACGTTTATTAATTTCAGATTCGAGTTCATCTATTTTATCTCGATATTTTCCTTCAATATCGTTCTGAAAATTATAGTAATTAATATTAATATTTTAGTATATTATAGTAATTTAACTAAACATAAATTTAACTACAGTAAATAAACCAATTATAACGACATTAAAGACAGCAGAAAAAATTGAATTTTTGTCCAATTTTATAGGCAATGTCAGTGGTAAATATTAAAAAAAGATATATATTGGCTATTAACAATTTTATTTTAATAATCGCAAATTAAGTAAAACAATTTTTAATTAATAGATTTACAATAAAGTATGTCCATAATAGGTAGGCTTAATGATTTAAAACAGTTTAAAAAAAATTCTCGGTGGAAGCAACTACGATCCTCGAGGCATTAAAAATAATAATACATGATGAGCACCCAAAACACATTATATTTAGTGACTCCCTTAGTAACCTAATCAGCATCAAAAACCAATTCCATCCTGAAGATATCGCAACAAAAATACAAAACAAACTATACGAGGCCTCGACTAGAAACAAACAAATCACACTCATGTGGATTCCTGGCCGTACGGGCATCCAAGGGAACGAGTTAGCCGACCAACAGGAAGCAACAGTACTACCAGCGCAAACATACGATGACCTAAAAACCCAGATTAGTCAGATGTCCAACGACAAATGGCTTTCGGCTATGGAAGCATCAAACTACCGAACTGAACACAATTAAAAGTTTCACCAACCGATGGATTAATAGCTCGCTAAAAAAGAATGAAGAAAGAATTCTAAACCGCATGTGTATCGGTTATACGAGATTACCACACGGATACCTAATGGCTAAGGAAGAAGCTCCCATATGCGAAGTTTGCTGTGTAAGGCTGACTGTGAAACACATAGTAACAGAATGTCTCAAGTACGAACAAGACAGATAAAGGATCGGAATCGACGCGTCACTCCACACCGTAATAGGACCAGAAACCGAGGACAATATCAAGATATTAGACTTCTTAAAATCAACCAACTTATACAACTCAATCTAAAAATGATGTACACTTTTCCTTTATTTTATTTTTTAGAACATGTTATCATAATGTATACCCACTGTAACTAACTTATTTATCTACTTAACTGTAACTTATGGCCTTAGATGCCGGGTTGCAAATTATTACTTGATCAATCAAAAAAAAATAAAAAAAAATAATACAATTATTTGAACTTACCAGACATTTTTCGACTATTGTTTTTACGCCATTCAATATTTCGTCGTAACAGTTTTGTCGAATATCCGGCCGACTAGATATGCACTGCACTGCAGTGTTGGTAGACATTCGTTTGGACAGTTTTGTATGCTTTGAAGTTCTTTGGGAAGACTCTAGCAAGTCAGTCTTATGAGACAAATCTATTGGTATAAGATCAGGGTTTTTACACTGCGGGGTTATGCTGTCGGGAAACACAAATAAGGAGCTACAAGAATCTGGCGATGATTCTATTGTGCGGCGTTGGTTGAACGTAACGTTGTTTCTAGTCAATTTTGAGTGTCTGGCAGCGTATCCTTCTATGGTCTGCGAAGTCATCAACTGGTTCGCTCTGTCGTTGCCGAAACAGCTTGATGATAACTTTTTAAGTATATTTTTAAGCCGTATCCTCTCAGCCGTTTCGTTACACTCGTCTACCGGTGTAGTGCTGCATCGCAACGATTCTTGTTTGCGCGAATTTTGGTTTCTCAGTACCACCTCCAGGGCGACCGCTTCCGAATGACTCCGTGTCAACTGGTTGCCATACGAAACGTCCAAAGCCCTGCATCCGGACGAGTCCAGGCTGGAACTTCTCAAGAACGCCTTCTCTTCCAGTTCCGCCAGCTTTTGCCGTTCGTTCAGTATTTTCAATTTCTTCACGAACGACAAACCGGAATACTCGGGTGATAGATCGTTGATCGAGTCATAACATCTTTTCGTGCCGTCTAAATGCAACACTTTTGGCCTATGCACTATTCTAATATCACATTTTTCCTTATTAATATTATTTTCAGTACATTTATTGGTTAAACTATTGTGAGCCGATATGTTTTGAGCAATCAATGAGCCCTGCTTGTATTGGTCATCTAATTTTTGGCACATTACAATAAACTTGTGTTCGCAGCTACCGCTGTTTATATGTGAAACATCGGTAGTGGGTTTCAAGTGTGATTGAAGAGACGACGTGTCGCGTGGGACCTCACTATCGGCTTTTAAGTCTTGCAACTTGGCTTTCGGCGTAAGCACCGTCGCTTTTTTCAAAAGCGTCCACAATTTCGTATTCGCCGTCGGTTTCCGCTGTCTGGTGTGTACCTCTGACAGTCGTTGCTTTAGGCTTATGCTTTTCGTGTTTTCTTTTTTCGGAGTTTTTAATTTCACGTTCGGTTTTACCTTAGGTGTACTTTCAGACACTTCTAGATCGACCTTCTTCGGTTTACTTTGCGTCATCCCTTCTTGTTCATTTTTTTGTTTGAGGATCAATAGCCTCTGTAATAACGGAAGCCCGGCGCCGATTACTTCTTGATTCGTCGTTTCTTTCCGACCAGTTTCTAACACAGCAGGTGGTGGTGATAGTAAACACTTCTTAGACGACTCATTAGCACGGGGTTCTTTATCCGATTTCGCTTTATTTAGTATTGGAATACCCGGTGATATCGGCCTTGGATCTTCATCACTGTGATCCGTTCCTGAAGCTAACTCATCGCTCCATACCCGGGGCATTCTTCTTAAAATACTTTTACTACTGTTATTTTCTGATTTGCGACCACTACTGGTTAACGGTTGTAACTCCATGCTCTCTTCAACTACAGCTCTGCAAAGTTTAAAGAAAACTATATAATTATGTACTTAAAAAAAAATTTAATATTAATTTGCCTATTACAATACTATGATAAATGTATACTGTATAGGAACGGTAACTAATACTTTAGAATTTAGACATATGAATTATATAAAATACAATTTTAATTTATTTGATTTAATTTGCGTAATCATTTTTCATGAGTTAAATTCAGTCTATTTCAGTAGCTATATTACTTAATAATATTTTATAATATTATTTTTTTTACAAATATTTCAAATAAATTATATTTGCTTTAATTTGTGTAATCGTGCTAGACATTTTCAGGTAAAATATTATATTTATATAGGTAAATTAAATGTATACGATAAAAAAAATTATTATTTAATCATCTTTTTATAGGTTTCGACATACTTTAAGTTATTAAAATATTTAAAATATTTTAATTAAAACTGATTCTAACTCTAGTATTTTTTTACTGTGATAAAATGTTTTTTAATAATGTATTTAAGTTTGGTATTTATCTCACCTAGTTCCACGGCGCCCTTTTGAAAATGCATTTCGAAGTCCTTTGACATCACAACGAATTTTATCCACGATTCCAGTACAGTTTTCTGCAGCTTCAGCCCGAGATTTTATCCGATCCGCAACTGATGGTTTACAAACAGTATTTATCAATACGCCATACATGTTACAGAAATTCAAATTAATATTACCTACCAATCTTATTTGCGTTCTTTGCTTCCATCAGACGCTTTCTGCCAAGTGTTTGAAGAATATCTTGTGCTTCAGGGTAGTCTTTCATGGCGGCAAGAACGTCTTCACGAGATAAACTGAATAACTCTGAATATCCAACTGACCGAACATCAGCAGTTCTCCTAAGAATTACATATTATAACAAGTTCGGTTTATATAATTTAATAGGTTGATTGGCAAATATCATTAAACAAACTAAATATTATAATTTAGTGTAATGCCGATTTAATATCTCTTAATTTATGTCGAGAGTAAATAAACAATAAATAAATATATTTTTTTAATTTGTTTACTTTTTGAGTGTGGATATAATATAATTGTCATCGAATAGACTATAATACATACTTATTAAATCCGTCCAAGTTGAGAATTCCTATTTCTCCAAAGAAATCACCAGCTTTCATTATCGTCAGAACATGTCCAGTTTCACTACTGTATATAACATAGCAAAAAAAAGTCACAATTAAGATTTATTGGATTTTTAAGTAATTTTTATTGTGTGTATGTATATTATATAAGTACACGTTTAATGTAAATATGCTAACCTGATAACTTCTAAAATTCCGTCTGCTATGATGAACATCTCTCTGGCAACTTCTCCTTTTCGACATATTAAATCCCCAGGTGTAAATATGTAAGCTTTCATTTTGAGAACTAAATCGTGTAGAAACTCCGGTTGGCATTCTTGAAATATTGTAACCTAAATGAGATTACCAATAACAACGTAGGTAAATAAAATGTATTTTTCAGCGTACATATTATTTTATTATGATTTAACTGGAAATTACTTTTTTCAAAACCGCCAGATTGACGTGCAACGCCAGTTCGGTTTTCAATTTGTCCGGAAGAAGACCCAGCGCCGTGTTTATATCGCCGCCTCCTTGAATACGTCCCCTTCAACAAACCGGCAACATGCACAAAAAAACATGTTTTTAGTCTTATCGCGTGAATGTGCGAAACGAGAAATAGGAATTAATCAATCATTCGACTTTGACGTATCCACGCGCGTGCCAATGTATATGCTGCACTGGATTTCGAATAAAACGTTCTAAGGACGTTATATATGGCTCGGTCGAATGAATGTATCGAGTTACACATATGACAGCGCGCCAAGCCGACGAGAGTTTTTCATATAATATTATACAATATACATATATGTGGTAAGCGTATAGAATTTCGAAACCGCCCTTCTAATTCAATTAGTTGGGTACACAATAAACAATATTCACCTGGACCACGAGTAGTCGTACCATCTCAGCACTCTTTTTTTCATGCCGCTCGGCACCTTGTGATGTCGCATGTACAGCTTGGCGCCGTCCAACAGCCGTTCAAACTCCAATCGGTTTGCGTTTCTGTTCGTTATCACGTTGCCCACCTGCCCTGGAAAATATAATTATATCAATTTAAACACCTCTGGGTCGACTGGCACCGTGTTATCTATTATACACCGCCCAAGCGTGTGCGCACGACATACCGACGATGGTGGCGAATATGAACACTCCGATCAAGTAGCTGACGATGGTGAAAACGTACCTAAACGTGAAAACAAAAATACAAAATGAGAGTGCTTGCGTTGTTTAGGTCTAGTCGAAGACGCAAGAACTTATACAGTTATACCCATTTATACGAAACCAAAGTCTATCTAGTACTGTAGTAGTGGTATTAAAAAATATAATGTATAATACATAATATATGGACGGTAGGTGCAGTATACAGGTTTGGTACTCACTCAGCATTAGTTTCTGGTGTGGGTAGATCGCCGATTGTGGTCAGGGTCAGAGTTGACCAGTACAACGATCCCAAATATTTTCTAGTCAACGTGGCATAGTCACCCGGCTTGTACGGGTACACCCAATCGCCTTTGAATCCTTCAGCTTCAGATAGCAGATAATAGAAACAGCCGAACCAATGGGCTAGTATCAATAAAATGTGAATCAGATTGATCACTCTCCAAAAGTTCGGGTAGACCGTCCTCGATTCCACCATGTAGTAATAGTCGTACACCCTGTACACCTGAAGAAAATAATATTATTATGATTTGGTTTTCCATACGCAGTAGTTCTGATAATATCATAGCAACGACGAAAAGTATAATTTTATTACTAAATTATAGCTATTATATTATTGTACTGCAATCGTACAACACGAAAATCGTTATTTGATTTTCAATTTTGCAGAGGCGGTAGTGTGAAAAAGCTTTTGGCCTAACAATGAGTGGTTTTTAAACATTTGTACGGTATTCAAATTTTAACAAAACTCCAAACATTTTACATGGCGTATATGTATATGCAGTCGCCTGGAAAATTAATGTAGATTGTACTGTAAGTACATACTATAACAATGCCGAATATCAATTATTTTAACAAATACATACGGTACATACTGCAAAAACATTTTCACTCAGAATCGTTCTGCAATTAGATGACAATAGCTTATAAATGTAAAATTACAATGTACCAGTTCAAGTAGTCGGCATGGAATAGGGGACTTTCGATGTATATTATATTATGTAATTTATAACATTGTGCAAAGTTTATTCATTTTTTTTTTCTATTAATATTTGAATACCTAATCAGATTTAAACGGCAATAATACCAATATGGCAATATATTGTATATTTGTGTACCATACAAGTAAAAAGTACCAATATCATTTTGCGTGAATATGTTTATTTTGTATGATAAATTCAATTCTGAAAACTTATAAAGTTCTGAGGGTTCCTATATATAGTCTAGTAGGTAGCTAATACTTCAAGTTTCAGCCTATCATAACAAAATTAGCATTGTCAAACATTGATCGTATACTAAAGGGCTTTTGACAATAACTTAGAATTCAGCATAAACAACATTGCAATATATAGGTATATCTTCTAAATAAACCAAACTTAACAATTATACAGCTTAAAATATAAAATTATTATATTACTACCCATCAGCATGGATTAATATAGGTATCTCTGTATATACCTAAATAGTTAAATCGGTTTAATTGATTTTATAGTGACAAAATAATTTTGACGTAGTCAGGAACATAAATAAAAGTAATGAAAAATAAAAAACATTAATTAAATAATAATATTATAATTGGGCATTTGCTCATGAAAATGTTCAATAAATAAATAATTATTTAATAATAATTGCAGAAATAAAAAAAAAAAATAGTTAAAAGCTAATTTCTATAATATTTTGTGTGACTTAGGATTGTACTAAAACAATAATATATTATGTAATATGTAAATGCATCCATACATTCACACATAGGTACGATCTTTGTTTTTTTAAATATTTGCCTAAAATAATGCTCAAACATTAATAATATTATTTTATCGTATTCACTATGTTCAAATTAACGTCACTAAAATGTATATTTTGCGAAGAACGATATAATTATAAAGACTGGCTGGCTATATAGTGGATACTGTAATAATATACCTAACGATAATAAGGTAAAATGTAAATTAACGGAACGTAGACGATTTAAATTTAACGAATTAATAAATATTAATTAGCTGCATTACTACAAAAACGGATAATATTCGTGACAGACACAAGTACACAAACACAACTAGTAGGTGTATACTATTATGTTAAAGGGTTAATAAATGAATTGCATTTGAAAAGAGATTCTCTGAGTAGACCTGTAGACTTTTACATAATATAATTAGTCGATATTTCGTTATGAAGAGCGATAATTTCTTAATTTTCTCTGCTGTTATTTTCGTTTTTCAATACTGCGTTCTTCCGAACGGGATTACATTTTAAAAATCACCTCTATAAAGACCTAAGTAGGCACTTTTTATGTCCGACTTACAATATATATGTATACAGGATGTAACAGGAAGACCCCATAGATGAAATAACTTTTTTTCTAATCAATATTTAAAATTTTTTTTATATAGAATTTATATTCACTTGAGTGTAATATAAAAAAATTATTTTTATTTTTTAATACTGAAAATAAAATTTTTTTTTGATAAATTCAAAATAGCCTACTTGTAAATCTTATTATAAGAATAATTTTGATGGAAAAAACATTTATCAAGTCAAGTAGTTTATTGTTTAGAATTTTTATAAATATATATATTTTTTTGATTAATTTTTTTTTACTAATCTTATAATTTTAACAAATTTTGTCAAACTATTAAGTAACATCATTTTTTTTTTTTTTTATGTCAGGTCTTCTTGTTATACCCTGTATATATATAATATAAGTAGTTGATGAGCTAAAGTTTTTGAGATTTTTTTAATAACCTAAAAACTGTTTCTCTATAAAAGTCCGTAAAAAGATAGAACATATTTTGATAGGTATATTAGAGTTTTTCTCAGAATGTAAGAATATGATTTTAGTTGTAACCACATGTTGGTTTACACGCTTATTACAGCGTGTAATATGTTTTATGGAACTCGTTTTCTTATAAGAAGGCAACTTTAATGAGGTATATCCAAAATAATAAAACATGATTAAAAAAAATACAATTGTAAGTTACAACTTATAACACAAATTTTACTATTATTATTATTTTTATTCAATTATATTTTATAAATAGTGTTAATTTTCTATTCATTTGAGTTATACTTCCAATGGTTTTAAACAGTTGAAATAAAATTAAAATTCATTCAAGTCAATTAGTATCTACATTATTACTTTATTTCGATGTAAAGATAATCATAATTTTTGGGACATTGATAATGGCGATTGCATAATCGCTTCTGCATTACCGTAATAAACTATTAATGTCGTGAGTCAAAACCTATGTTGTGTGGAATAACGATCATTGGTGTAAGACGTAAGTACTAACTAATGTCTACTAAGTATATACTATTACGTTATAGTATTGGCACATTTTGAATATTGATCTACAAGTTACAACTCTTGCGAATATTGTGTAGGCGCCTATTATGTTTTGTGAGAGCATGTAAACAATAACTTATCTTTGAATAAATGGAAATATATTATACATTATAACTATCTATATGTACTTTCGTATCAGTAAGGTTAGGTTAGGTTATGATTAAACTTTATGAGATTACCTATTCCTACCTAAAACAATTTTATTTTATTGTATGTTAATAATGACAAGTACCTATACTGATTAGTGATTATCAATAATTTTGAAAACAAGAAATATTAATATTGTCATTTTTATTGAATGACATTATTTTATCATACACATTACAATGTTTGAACTATATGAGTTAAAATTAATTTATAACATATTGTAATTAACATACGCACTATTATGGTAACGTAGTCATAATATGTGAAACTATAGATTAGTATGAACGGTTATAGGAAATAAGAAATAGGAAGTAGACGATTTGGTATACAACGTCACTTGTTTGTAGTAAAGTGTGCTGTATATTAGGTATTTAGGTAGGTATACAAAAAGCTACTACTAACACTTTTTTTTTTTAAATATAATATAATATTATAATCGTCTTTGGAAACAAAAACAGTCGTCATGCGATAATTGTTATTAATTGCGTTCAAGACGATGTTTATATACACATTTGTATTTTGTTGAACACGCGTGCACATCGTGCACAACTAATTGTCGTAAAGCAATTATACGAGACCGTATATATAAGTCTTATGCGAGTTTTAAACTATTTAATGAAATCGTTGGTACACAAAACGCAATAAAACAAAAATTAATCAGAAAATCCATAATTTAATCAGAATTTAAATTTAGAAATTAAATAAATACGTTGTATTTATGCTTCAAACTCACAGTCGTAGTTTCCACGTTCGCGTCGGCAATTAAATATAGCTACGGAGCAGTATTATATATGGATACCTAACTATGTTGTATGGAGGAGGAGGATATTGTATGGGATCGAGAGGATTTACGGGATTGCGATTTGTTAGGGCGTTATAACTACAAGAAATTGTGTTCTAAAAACAAGAGTTGCAGCGGAAATGCAATTAAAATAGCTAAGACCAAATAAGATGTAAACTACTGATTCGTTCTATATTAGGTATAGCATTTCGTAGTAGGTGGGACGAAGTTTTTTTTTTTGCGAAAAATCACAATAGCAATCGTTTCCAAATGACATGTTATATATTATGTATCATTATAATATATTGCAGGTGGTTATCCGCTCGTGGTTTTCGGCGCACATCCGCCCATGTATTTTTTTATCGCTTACATAAGGCGCATAGGTCGTCTGTTTTATTACATAATATCGTGTGAACTATTTATATAGATTGCCTGCTCTGAAATCCTCGGTGGTTCGACACGGATCGATCGGTCGTCGTGCTCATGGGCGAGGGTCGTATATGTCATATTATTACGTACTCAAAAATGGATGCGACCGTATAATATAATCTCGGCGGGCGTATATATGATATTATATTATGTATTGACCTATAGCTGCAGCAGTAATAAGGTGAACCCGCCTCGACATCATCATCGTGTACCTACCCTATAGTACCTACCTATATGTACCCCCGTTTTATTATAATAATATGTATATATAGTGTACACGGAGTGGCACACAGAGTGGCGTTATGCTGTTTTCACGTTTAACCCGCACTGCACGTGATGATGTGGGAAATCTCCGAGGCGATGGCCAACCCCCCGTGGGTGCCTACACCGTCTCGGATCCAATCAGTAGCGTAATTGGATAAAAAACCAGGGGGGGCAATATCATTTATTCACCATAATCAAAACCCTGACGCCCACCCTGATTTAGTCTTAAAACTCATGTTATGGTTTAGAAACAAATTGTAGGTAACAGGTATTCATATTGTTAAATATTATTAAGTACCTAGAGAGGTCATTAATAAAAGGTGCTATAAGTAGTTTAAAAAGTAGGTAAGTAGTATAAATATTATATACACATGAATGGGGAACAATAAATAATAAATAAATAACCAACAAATAATGTTATTATACTGTATTAACAAATAAAAGAAATAATAGGTATTTTTTGTTATTTTAGTGTTAGTTTTCTGTTACCTCCTACTCCATTTAAAACAAATTCATCAATTACTTTGTCAAAATCAATTGG